GTACTACATAAGTTTAAATGTAATCTTTATATTCTAATAAAGTGTACAGACAAAAATTGAATTAACATCAAAGCAATATACGATAAAAGTTTATTGATAAATCAAATGTATCATACAATAAAGTTTATAATTCATTTAATAAAAATGAATCCTTTTACAATTATTCATTATCATTAGAATTAATTTTTTTTTGTCCGCATAATTTTTTCCGCCTCTTTAATAGATTGCTCAAGTTCACAAGATTTTCCAACAAAATGAAAATATATTGCATATTAAAGATCATCCAATTTTATCATTTTTCCTAACCAGTGAGAAGCTCCGTGATATTCTTCTGATACAGAATCCAAATGTGCAACAAAATGAAATGAGCTAGATTCACATATGAATTGTGTGCGATTTTGATTTATAATAGGAGTAAATTCACATGCTGAATCTGACTTAAGATCATATAAATGCGCATGGATCTTTCCCTTATTTAAGCCTGTTAATAAGTCTATACGAATATAACTTGATCCACGTTTCTTAAATAATATAAAGATTAATAAATTAAAAATAATAATTATAATAAATTAAATAAATTTAAATAATTTACCTCAAATACTGCGATAATCTCAGCGATTACAATAGAAGAATTATTTTCACAGTAATAATAAAAATCTCCTTTTTAAATTTAAAAGATTGTGGATTTATTTTAGTAGAATCAAAGACTTTCTTACATGCTGTTTTTCATTGTGTAATTCGCCCTTTTGTTCTTATTTGTTGCATACTATTACTTAATCTATCCTGCTGAACAGCAGCCATAATATCAATTTTGCCTAATTCAGTTACTACCGTGATATTTTTTTTATTAGATGTGGCTTTGTTTCCAATTTTTTTTTCTCCTTTTGAGTATAATAATTATATTTTTCTAAGTTCAAATAAATATCATATTAAAAATGAAAAAATAATAAATAAAAGAATAATAAAATAATCATATTTAAATTACCTCGATAATCTGACATAATTTGCATTATAGTTAATGGATTTAATTCACAAGATTTTCTAAAACTTTTGTTGATTTTTTCAAAAAAATCGTCTTCAAATACTAATTCCAAAGTTAGTTGAGTATTTCCACTAGCCATTTCATCTAAATTATCATTAGAAAAGTCAAAATCTTCAGTTAATTTAGATCTACTTAATAATCATTGTTAATGTTGCGTTAATAATTTGCTAACATCACATTCATTATCTATTTCGTTTAAATTTAATTTTGAGTCTCCAGAAATCATATCAAGTTCATCATCGGAATCAATTGTTTCTTCTAAAGATATATTATGATTGTTTCTTTTTTTAAGTAAATGTAAGGATTTTTGAATTAATGCTGAAAATTTTTCCTTATTTATTAATATTCCAAGACTGCGAAGTATAATTTTCATAGCATCTGAAGTCTAAGATTTCAGTATAAATATATAACGATAATTAATATTAATGATGATAAATAATAAAAGAATAATATACTATATGCATACCTTTTCCATCATATTATCAATACCAAAAATTGATGGAAATTCGATTAAATTTTTTTGGTAAATTTTCTTTAGCTGTAGATAATTTAATATTATATCCATCATTGTTATCTAGCCTAATCAAGTCACCTATAAAATTACATATATAAATTATTTTAAATTATCAATAAAAATCTTAGTTAAGTTACTAACCTTTCATTTCAATTATAATATTATTTAAAATTTTTTCATTCGTTGATAAGAAATCCAGCACGATAAAATCTTCAATAATTCGTCATGCATAACCAAATATGTGTTCAAGAAAGACAGTAGAAATGATCCATAGGTATAAAGGATAATCTGAATAAAAATTTGGCCAATGTTGAATTAATAGAATTAAGGTTAATCCTAAGTAAAAAAAATCATCACATGACTGCCAGGATATTCCAAATTTATTTCCATTACACGTAGTGGGATTTGTCTTTAAAAAATGGCGTATTCTACAAAAAAAATACATGCATTCTAAGCAAATCCTACACAATCTATATGGGCCATGCTACGTGATTTCCATAATTCGAATAACATTTCACAAAAAAAATGATAACAAGCGTTACCATACATTTCATCATCATTATTTTTTATAGAATAATTTGTAAGACCTATAATAGATATGAATTATATTAATTATTAATTGAATCTTTTAATTATAACTACATATACTTTACACACCTTTTAAAACAG